CTTACAGATTGTTCTTCTGTTTGTAGATACGATGTCAAGTGGTATAAAGCTCCTCTGAAAATACAGAAGATGATATTATTTTTGCTGCAAAAAGGCAATAAACCTTTTACTTTAATTATTGGTAGAATATATGTAGCATCCATAGAGAGTGCTGGCAAGGTAAAATATAATAATATATAGATGCGTTTTGATAGAATACACACGGTTTCCTAAAGGTTTCTTTATAAAAGATGCAAACAAAGAAATATATGTCTCATTACAGATGATCAATACTTCGTTATCTTATTTTACTGTTCTTTATTCTACACAGTAGTATAATATCTGTTGTTACATGCAAAGTAGTATATAATGTATAAAATATCAATTTTTTAAATATTTTATCAAGATGTAATATTTATAGTTGTGTTAGTGAATAGACGTGTTTGATGTTCCTTTAAAACAACCTCGATGAGTGTTCACGCTAGAATGAAACGTATGCTAAACTACGATGCGGAAAATCGGCGACCACGCTTGCGCGAACATCGATTTAAAAAAATTTGTTTTCAAATGTCGTATCGCGTGGGAAAGAAACAGTGGTCACGGTTTTTTGTCGCAATTATAGATGGATCGTTCATATTTTCCGAACGAAGAAAATAAAGTGTAAATGTTTCAAACTATTATAGCAATCATCTCACATTGGTGATACTTTATATGCGTTGCGGTTTTGTTAAATTAGACCGTTTACGCGCGTTAGATCTTTTATAATAAAAAGTCATTCGCGGAAAATGTAATCGATCAGCGAGAATAATATGCGAATTTTCACTCAATTTTTCGTAGTCATATACGTATCGGTACTCGCAAAAATATGATCTGTATTCTCACACATTTTCGTCTCCCTCGTATTCTTATGCTCGCTGTTGGCTTATGGCCTTATCAGCAATCAAAACTTGTTCAACTTCAGCTGATGTTAACTTTCGGTATTTTGGTGAGCTTTCTCGTTTTCCAGGTACACATATCATTTTATTTCCAATTGTGATTACATAACGACACGGTTATATATACATTATCTATTTTTACTTATAAATTTGATATAAAATTTAAAGATACGACTATAGTGAAAACGAAAAAAATATAACGATAGTTTCAATTAACCCTTACCATAACAAATGTCAGTTTATTTTAAGCCGATTGTTTTTACTGTGTTCTTATGCGTGTTTGTTCTGCAATACACTTCGCGATGACAAATTTTGTCAGAATTATAGTTTGAAAGTAATAATGACAAAATTTTTTAAAAATCTGTAAAAACATGTGCGTATAATTAAACTTTTCTTCTGAATCAAAATGACATGATAATCGTCCGTCACGTTGTTACGCGACTATCCGTACAGCGAGAGTTGGAAAATTTAAATTATGTCAGTATACATGTAATTAATATAAGATTATAATATAAGAAATAAACTTGTGTGTGTAAGCGTTCTGTGACATTATATACATATTTATTGTATTCATTTTATTATGATTTGTTCAATAAATTTATTGTTTGCAGCTTACAACATTCATGACTGCAAAATGCACTCTCGAATTTATAATCAAAGTTTCTTCTTGCACACTATTCTTTGCTCTATTAATACTTGCTCATCATGCGTTTTGGAGTAACATGCAACCAGTAAGCGAAACTTATTTAGCATACTTTGTCTAAATAAACGTGTCGGAAGAATACATTCTATTTCGTGCAACACTTTTATATGCACTTTTATTTCGCACATAACTTTGACTAAATATTACAAAAATATATATTGTATTGACACACAACAGGTAAAATATTTGTTTGATCAACTTCAACATATTTGTAACGAGCTAAAAGATGAGAACGAAATCGCCATCATAAAACAGTGTGGAATCGAGACAAAACAATTCACGGCTATAATTATGTGTAAGACAATATCTATTGCATTTTAGTTTTATGTTGCAACTATTAGATAATATGTAAATACATCAAAGTAAAGTATTTTACTAAGTATCTTACTATAGTTAATAGTAATTTATGCAGTTTTTTCAACATTTAAAAAACCTTTGTTTCTTTCTCTCTTTTTTTGAAAAGTAATGTCAATATTACTTAACATAATTAATAGCAATTAATTTTTTATGTATTTCAACTACGATCTGTAAAAATTATTCAAGCGATTTAAAGGATTGAAATATGTAGAGGCAGAGAGAGAGAGAGAGAAAAAGAGTTTGCAGATTTTTTATCTAAATATATATTTATCAAGGAATAATTATAAAACAAAAATACATATATATAACAATGTGAAAAATATATGTAACAAAGAAATATTATATACGAAATATATATACGGAAATTAAGAGGCAACAACGTGTTCTGTTGTATTTTTGTTTTGAACATGTTTAGTGCTTGCAATGGTCTGTGCGTGTCTTGTTATTTGTCTACCGCTGTGGCCGCGTCTTCTCGATATCATTCTACCCGCAAATGAATCTCGACCGCGCCTTTCAAGTCCGTTTCTGACTGAATATTTTGTTGATCAAGACAAATATTTTTTTTTTATTCTGCTGCACATGGACGCAGCTACGTGCATAGGAACAATCACAGTAGCAGGGGTGGGAAGTACGCTTTTGGGATATCTGAAACATATCTGTGCAATGTTTAACATCGCGAGGTAAAGAAATAAGTTACACATGTTGAAAATTAAAAACTAGATAAACAAATAGTACACAACAATATAAAGCAATCGAGAAAGAGAAGATAATTAAACTGTATGCATATTATTTATAGTTATCGTATCGAACAGGCAATGACGATTAATAGACCAGGAAATACAAGCATGAGAGAGAATGAGATTATGATATGTAAAAAATTACGTTGTGCCGTGGATATTCATCGCAAAGCTTTGGGGTTAATAGTTATTGAACCATATAAAAACAAACACACACTCGACACAGACAAAACTAGATAACATTTTTAAATTTTTTTTTCAAGGTTTGCTGAAAACTTGGTATTCAATTTTGAAGGATCATGTTTTGCACTAATAGCAACTGGTGTGAGTTGCATGAGCCTTAGTCTATATGGCGTGAGTGTTTCTATTTCTTTCTGTAAATTCGAAAGTAAGTTACAAATTAGGTTTATTTCTACGTATTTAACGCGGATATTACCTAACAATCAAAAGGCAAAGTAAACTATAGACACATACAATAGATATTAATGTGTGAAATAAAGTTGTTCTCAAACGCAAAAGAACTGTTGTCAATGTAATTTTCCAGGTTGCATCGAAAATAAACAATCTTCCTGAACTCTGCTTACATTTTATAGGTGCACTAGTTCTTTTAATAGCCATATTTATAACTAACAATGCGGCACAAGACATTACGGATCACAATAACCACTTATTTAAAACCGTGTAAGTAAAAGAAACCTCACATAACTATAATATATTAATATATAATGCATAATATATATTAATCACACATATACACACACACATGTACGGGAATTCTCTTAGCAAACGTATATTAATACAATTACAGTATATTTTGTGAGAAAAATATTGCTAAAGAGAGAGAAAATATTTATAAAAACTATAACGTGTAAACTTACATTTATTTTTTTCCAATTCATTGTACATTATGTTATTCTGTGTACATATACAGATATAACGTCAAATGGTATTTGGCTCCTTTACATGTACAAAAGATGATATTATTCCTGTTACAAAGGGGCACTAAAACTTTCTATTTGAATCTCGGTGGACTGTTTATTGGATCTTTAGAAAGCGCGGCCACGGTAAAAACAACATACTTATTATAGTTTGTTTTTATAGTTTTTATAGTATTTAGCAAATGTATTTGTAATATTTTTACAATAATACAAAACGGGATATGTTTTATTACAGTTGACCAGTGCCTCCATATCTTACTTCACCGTCCTTTATTCTATGCGTCAATAATGCAAAAAGTATCCCTTGCTAGTGAAACATTAGTGGTAAAAAAATTTTAGTGTAGCTACAAGTAATGTTCTTAATATACACGAAACTTTATTTATAAATAAAATTTTTACTTACGAATAAACTGTATATAAATTTTTACTTTTATAATTGTCCGTATTCTAAGAAAAAAACAAAAAAATTAAAAAATTGTTAAATAGGTAAAAAAGTATATATGTATACATACATACTATATACCGTAATCACGTAACCGAAGTCAGTAACACCGTCGCGGTCGCGCGGCCGAGGTCAGTGACTTCACCGCAGTCGCGCGACCGGGGTCATTGACCCCGCCGCGGTCGCGCGAC